ATCTTGAACTTGTTACATCCTCTAACCTTCATGGTTTCCTTCAAAATACTCTGAAGTGTTAAATAAATCATGTTTGCTTTGTGTGGACAATGCTCTTGGAATGCCTACATGTGTTGAAAAAAAAAATTCAAAAATGAATAAATCTGTTGTTGAAGAAACAATGAAACTAAACAAGTGATCAATTTACCTCTTGCACTGTTGGAATTAGACCTTCCACAGTTTTTGCTTGCTTCTTGTATTGAATAGATTGAATAGCTCGAAAAAACCCCAAGTCCAAAATGTTGAAATCCGGAGAATTAGGTGGTTGACAAATTAGGCGAATGTCAAATCCTTCTTGCTTAGCAGCCTCACAAAAAACCGGATCATTCACTTCTAAATGAGAAGGTGCATTATCTTGTTGTATGTAAATTGGTTGGTTCACATCTTCACGTGGCCATTTTGCTCGAATGGCAGGCGACACTTTGTGAACCATGAAGTCTCTAATCATATCTTTTGTGATTGAAGTTATGGGCTTGACAACTTGGGTACCAGCTAGACGATTCCTACTGTCTCTTTTAGCATTTTCATAAGTAACAAGTGGAAAACAACCAATTTTCCCATAAAAATGCACACTCCATTCCCAAACCTTGGCCGAGCACAAACACACAAAAACATGAGCCTAGGAATGCAATTCTTGCTCTTACAAGTGCGATGGGGATCATCTTCCTCGGGTAGCAAGTAGTACTTCTCTGATTTTTGAGTGAGGAAAAACCATTTTTCATCGATGAACACATGGTTAAAAATCCCTTAAATTTTGGTTCATCATGCAAGCTACCCTGATCAATCATGTCAACACATCACTGTAACCGAGACTTCTTGTTAGCATATGTCAGGTGTGGCTTGATGCTATTTGAGTGGCGCCTAAGAAGACCTTTTTTCAAGTATGTTTGTAGCTTCCATTTGCTAATGTTTAGTTTCGTACTGACATCTTCTATAGTCATTCTTTCTTTGAGAGGAATGTTGCGCAATGGTTCCAAATCAACAAGGATTGCCTTGCGGCCTACTCTACCCTTCTTTTGACTAGCAACATTAACCGGAATGGATTGAGCAAGGGGGATTTTACCTCGCTGCCATAAGCACTGAACAACTCGAATGTGAAGTCCAAATTGTTCAGCAACAACTCTCATATCACACTTGCCTAGTTTCCCATTCTTGCTTCTAGCCAACAAAGTTTGATACACTTGTTTTCTGAGTTCTTCTGTCATGTCTTTGGCCTTCCTTCGTCCATTGGCTTCAACGGGAGCCTCATTAGCATCTTCTAGTTGCAAAAAAAACAAGCAAATTCAAACCAATGATTTTGATTACCAGCATCGAGTCATATCAAAAGAAATTTATCTTACCAGCGAGGTTTTCTTCAAAATCGAAATTAATCGCACCATATTCGTCTAGTGGCAGGTTCAAATCAAATCCTATCGACAAGAAAACGATGATACGAGAGATGACTAAATATAAAAAAAAACTAATAAAAGATGTAATATAGTTGCCATGTTCTAGCGGAGGCTCGTTGAGATCAAACCCAGCATCGCCGTTGCCATGTTCCAATGGACACACGTTGAGATCAATCCCAGCAAATAAATCGACCATGGGGAAAAGTTTGTTGCATGGTAGATGAACAAGAGAAGTGGTGGCTTAGTGAGTTAGTGTTGTGGCGCTTAAATAGAAGAAGCTAGCAACCCAAACGTCGGACGCCAACACGAGCGAACGGCAAAATACGCGCCATGCCAGTGAGCGACTGGCAAAAATACGCGCCCAAACATGAGCAACCGGCAAAAGTACGCGCCCAAACGTGAGCAACCGGCAAAAATACGCGGCGAAACGGCAAAAAAGGCACCCATACAGCAGCACAGTGCCATGCAACTCGCCACAGCGCCATGCAAATCCAAGAGCTCTTCAAAAAAATAACGCGCCTGAGAGGGATGAAACCGGGGACCTCCTGCCTCGGGCCGCAGCTTACGTCCAGCTACGAAAGTTTGTTGGATAGGCGATACCCGCAACCCTATTTAATAAGGGCAAACAGAGAAAAATACCCCTTAATTAATCACTCCTTGGTATGCTAAATCATGTCTTAAACGACTTTCTTTACCAGTATGGAGGGAGTATATCTCTTATAATCCTAAACCCGGCCCACTAGCTATATACCTTAACATGCAAGCTGTCCACCTCAACAATACACTACCACATGCAATTAAAATCTAGCTATATACCTCAACATATAAGCTGTCCACCTCAACAATGCACTATCACATGCAATTAAAATCCACTAGCACATACATGCAAATGTAATGTCTACGTCAACACGACGCACGAGCATTTTGTGGAAAAAAAAAGTTGGCTGAGGACTATCCCCACCAAGCATCCATGGGCACCCACCATGAATTCATGCCACGTGTCCATACATAATCATTGCTCCTGTTGAGCACTAAAATATATTCACTTTCTTCTCCTCGATCATTTATTGTTAGTTTCAACTTTGTCGTTGCTATAGTTGTTTGCTGAGAGTCAAAATTATGGTAGCCATGGAGAACGTGTGTCAGGAATGCTTGCTAGGGTTATGTTTATCAAAATGCCACACTGGAATTATGAGAGTGCATATCATTTATGGGACTTTATTACCGGGGTTAATTGGTGTGATTGTGTTGGTTGAAATGTCCTGCACTCTTTTCAGAGATATTGTTCTTGACCAATGTTATCTTAAATGCTAAACGGTAAATAATCAGCCATCCTCTGTTTAGCGTTTAGATCGTTTAGACGATATTTAAACGTAGTTAAACAGTTTTGTATAGTAACACTAAAATTTACATATTTATGCGGCATTGCTATTCTACACCCAGTAGCCAATACTGAATACTGCTGAACCGCGTTCACAGTATCAGTCAGTACGACGCATCAGTACCACAAAATACTGGATAATATTAAAACACGACTACTAAATAGTACTGAATTTTGTTCAGTACAACAATTTGGTGTAGAAGTAGCCAAAAACTGACCAGAAAATACTGAATACCACTTAACCGTGTTTAGTATCAGTTAGTACGACGCATCAGTACCACGAAATACAGAATACTACTGAAACACAACTACTGAATAGTGCTGAATTTTGTTTAGTACAATATTTATGTATGTAAAAGTTAAATATGCTAGAAAGTATACATATTTATGCATGTAAAATATAAGTATTATATCAAATAATTTTTTTTGAAGAAAACTAAATCTCACACCACCTCATATACTTACTATGTTAATTAGTTGGGTGCCAAATGTGGTAGTTGTAATCCTCTTTTAAGTAAATGGTGAATTGAATGGCCATTTAACTCATTTAATCATGTTTAACTCATGTCTCTTCTCCGTTTTGTCGTGGTCAAATCTAACCATGATGATGGACTAGGGAGAATAAGTTTCAGATCAGTCTTCCTTATTCTTCAGTGGCAGAAAGAAGAAGGAAGATACAAGAAAGAAGAAGTTTCTCGACTCCGCCTGCAGGAATGTTGGCCGTTATTCGTTGGGCATCTGTTCTCAGGCCTTTTGCCGAGTGTTTGTCTGTGCGATAATCCATACAAATCGTCATACTGGTTTTGGATTTGAGATTTGGAGCTATACAAAGCATGAGTAGAATACAGATGAAGATCAATTCCTGGATGTACGTAGTGTATTTTAGAGTGCTTGTAACGTTATGATGTGCTCAGCTATAATCTAATATAATTCTTCTTTTGTCTAAAAAATGATATTACAAGCCCTGTTATGATAACATCTTATCTTGGTACTTGAAGGTTTGAACTAGCATTGTTTACTCTACTTGCAAAGGTCTTTAGTGACCACACCAGAGAAATTTGTTGCCCTTACCACACGCACTAGTTGTTGCGCACTGTTGAAGTCCATCTCTCTGGTTGCATGTTCGGTGCACCACAGGATAAATCTGGTCCACAATGCATGTGCAACCTTCTTTGGAGTGATGCTCTAGTATCCCATGTGCTCTACTCACCATAGAATTCTAGTGCAATGTGTCACACCTAAACTCAGATGTTGCATCTGGTGCAAACACTAGAGAGCTCCAGTGCTCTATCTGGTTCCTCCACCGTGCAATTGTTACCTCTCTCCGATGGCCACACCGAAAGTATGATGTCACATCTTCTTCATTGCCTCGGACTCGCTCCATCGGATAACTCTGGTGCTCTCTGATATGCAAATCTTCATGTCCTTTTGTTCGGGCTTCACTTGATTCATGTCTTGATGAGCTTCATACTTATGTTCTAGGGTCTTCAATACTTTCCTTTGATTTTCTTTTGAGGTGTTGATTGCTTGATCTATCTCCACCTTAGCCTAGTTCAAGTCTAGCCTTGCATACTTAGGACTAAAATACCATGTATATTAGCAAACATTGTTAATACTCTTGATGATGTTGTCATTCAACCACCAAAGCTAAACCCTTGCTAGAGTTCAAGTTTCTTACATTTTACAATGGATTCACGTGATAACTAGTGAGACCTAGAACTATAGCATAGGTGCTAAGAGGTCTAGATTTTTGTTGAAAATCCTGGTCCGTTTTACTAGATTCATTTATATGTTGTGCTTTTTATCTATATGTTGGATGCACTTGCATTTATTCCAAGTAACCAATGAAAAAACTACTCCATCTAGAAATATAAACATTTCTATGATTTTAGAATAGATTAAGAAAATGAAAATGATTGTAGCATAGATTCAATTAACACTTGCCCTTACAGAGATCATAGAGATGGCATAAACTAATTGTTTTCTAAAGACCAAATTATGTTGACACAGATAAGGAAACTAATTATTAATGATGAGGGATAGAGGAGGTGGTAGATTATGCTATAAATGATTACATTTGTAGGCAAATTTTGAATGCTGCTAGAAATGCTTACCTGCGTGAGCCGAATCAAGCGACCACTATAAATATTGAACTTGTGTATGCTCTTTTTCTCGCACCAAATTAAATAACCATGGCATCCAACAAGAAAGTAGTGGTGCTCGGTGTCTTCGCCCTGGCCTTGCTCCTGGTGGCCCATTGTAAGTAAAACAATCCTTGTTGTTTATAATGTTCAAGAAAACACTAAAGAAAAACTAGCACCTTAAATTGGAAACTTGGCAGCCTAACATACATACCTCCTGCATCATCATCCTATGCAAAGCATCATGCAGCGAGTACCGCTAATCTCTGTCCTTTATTTTAAATTTTGTGTATATATGTGCCTAATTAGCCACCTCATGATCTATAATTGTATATGCGTAGGCGCGGAGGCGCACGTGTGCACGATAAGGAACAGGTATTACCACGGTCCGTGCATGAGCAACAAGAATTGCGCGGACTCGTGCATCCATAATGACATGGGCAGCGGTGGGTACTGCTCCTCCGCCTGGAAGCGTGGCCCCTTTGGAAGAATATGCAAATGTACCTTTGAATGTGGGGGAGAAACGACGCCAGCACCAGCGCTAGCAGGGGACGAGCCGCCACTGTACACGGCTGGGGCGGAAGTATCCAATTGAGTGTTGCATATATGCGGTCCATCGATGGAATAATAAAAGAACACATGTAGTCATGTTGTTGTAAGCAACAACTGCATGCACCAAAGATAATTTGCATGAGGATGATGAACAAAATAAACTGGCAGTGTTATATTTATTTGCCATGAGCATCTGCTGCAGGGCCACAAGCTAGGCCCAGTATACAGTATTTTTTCTCTTAAAATCTTGCACTGACGACCGTGGCACACATACTCTTTGTTTCAAGGTTCTGAATTCTGATCGTGTTGGTAGCCTGCATGCTGGTTTTGGTCACCGAGTTGTCACTATGTGCGTGTCTCCCTTTCTAGTTCCGACTTCGTGAGAGGCTACTCAGCCACGGGTGTGCATGGCGCATGGCCGCATCGACCATCAACTGAGCTTCATAATTTCCTATGGTGGTATCAAACATTTTAATTTTACAATAAACCCGCTTGAGTAGATGCAAATCGAATTCAAATTGCAAGAATATAAGAGCCAAATCGACTTTGAAAATATTTGACAACAAAATTTGATAAAAAGTACCGAAGCACTTTCTCCATCCCAAAATAAGTGTCTATGATGTTCATGCCGGTCAAACTTTTTTTAAGTTTGTCTAATTTTATAGAAAATATTATTAGCAACATTTGTATCTCTAAATAAGTTTATTATAAAAATAGATTCGACAATCTTATCTAATGATAATAATTATGTACTATAAATTTTAATATTTTGTTATATATGTGATCAAAGTTAAAAATATTTAACTCTTCAGCAAGCTATAATGACACTTGTTTTGGTACAGAGGAAGTAATAAAGAATAATTTTAATTTTAATAATACCGGAAACCTTCGTCGCTTCTGTCTTCACTGCCTGTTGCAGCTTAGGCCCGGCAGGGAAAGCCGGCCCATATAGCCTATCGCGCATCCAATTTCCGATCCTTTCTCCGCTCCCAGCCTCCCTACCAGTCTCTCCCCTACCCGCAGTGCCCACCGCGTCAAGCCAGCTCCGCTCCCACCTGCGCCGCCAGACCGCCCTTCCGGCCGTCGCCCAACAGCAACACAACACAACAGAGCAGATCCCCATCGCCGCCTCCTGTCTCCGTTGCACCGTTGACCGACGCACCGGTACGCTTCTCTTCCGAGGAAGAGAGAGGAGGAATCCTTCTCTTTTTTGCGCTGCTCTTTTCCCTGCTGCTGTTAAGAGAGTTGCTCGCGCCGCGTCTACATGCTAGCATTTGTTTGTAAATTTCCCCGAGGATGCGGATCCATGCCCTGCGTTGTGCGCTTCCGGTGGCCGGCCGCTGTCACCGCACTATTTGACTGTTTGGTATTCCGGTGGCCGGTAATGACTTTGCTAGCGCGGTCTCCCATCCTCAATCGCCCTTCCACCTAGGCCACCATCAATTCAGCCAGCAACATTTCATTCTAAAAGTGCAGTTAGTTTGTACATCGCTGTTGGAATTCATCAATTAGCTATGCTGCCTGTACATTGTTGATTGCACTGTATGGATGTTGTTCAACAGCCTCAAACCAATTGCAAATTGACCCGTGCTGCCTCATGTCATGTTTACTTTCCCTGTGAACTCCCTACTTTGTTTCAGATATATTTATCATCAATACTAAAACCTACTCCTGAATCAGGCATTCCTTTTCAACCCAAGTTGCCTGTTAACTACAGCTACCGATGGTCATGTCCTCTTTAATTTGGTTGGAAATTTGGTACTTTATTGCTCATATTGTCTGGTCATTTAATTTATCAGTAACTTAGGGTTCTGTTTACCAATCTCATATGTCGTATATACATGCAGCATCTAATCTGAGTCCATTTCCTCTGCAGTGTTGTTGTAGGGACATTCGTTCCGTACGCACAGCTGATAGAGGAAGGTAGGTCTCATGAGCGCCACGCCCGCAGCAAGCAGTTGCCTTCGAGCAGCCCTCTCATACTGTGTCAGGCAAGTCCGTGCCTATAAATGTCTCTCATTACTAGCATTCCCTCGCGAGGTCACAAATGAATCGAGTGGCACTTCGGGATTAAATGAGTAGTCTCTAATATATTCAGTTAGGCCACCCATATGGCCATATGTACTGATGTTCCATTAGTAATTGAAAACAATGCAATACTATCCAGGCAAATCTAGAAAGCCATAATTTTACTGTCGATTTAGTGGCCCGGAATTGCTTCAGGTGATTAAACTCTGGTATTGGTGACAATCCTATTTGGACTAAATTGCAGCGGAGAAACCAATGTATGCTAGGTCTGTGAGAAGTTAGGCTCAAGATTGCGGCATCAGCATCGACTATGCTTCCGTAGCTCATCCTCAAGTGAACGGCCAAATAGAACGGGCTAACGGGCTACTTCTAGCCGGACTAAAACCCAGGCTATTCGATGAGCTTAAAGACTACGACGACAAGTGGATATACGAGTTATCCAAGGTAGTTTGGGGATTGCGCACTCAGCAAAGCAGAGCGACAGGGTACTCTCCCTTTTTTGGTTTATGGCTCAGAAGCCATCTTGCCAGCTGATTTGATATGGAACTCTCCCAGGGTTGAACAGTACAATGAAGGCGAAGCAGAAAAAACCCGGTGACTAGAAATTGATAGTGCCGAAGAAATTAAGCTTAACACGCTTTTCCAGTCTGCTAGGTACCTGCAAGGCCTACGACATCACTATGATAAGAACATGCGCCCCCGCACCTTTCAAGTCGAAGACTTAGTCCTCAAGCGTATCCAGAATACCTCGGGACGACTCAAGCTACTTAGCCCATGCGAAGGCCCCTTCATCGTCTCCAAAGTTACTCGGCCAAGCTCCTTCGAGTTAATCACAGAGGATGGCAATCCCGTGCCTAACTCCTAGAACATCAATCAGCTACAGAGATTTAATGCTTAAGTAGTTGTCTTGTTTAAGAAAATTCAGTGTCCTAGCTTATGTACTTAAGATTCTTTGTTATTAATACAGAATCAATGTTCTTTGCTAGATGAATCTGTCTTTTTCTTTTATCGCAACCTTTATTACATCATATACGAGACATACAGCTGACTAATTGTGCGCCTACACATCTCTCAATATGATAAATATACTCGACACAGTTCTTATTCTGTATACCGAGTACTGGGCTATATTATATGAGATACGCCTCCTACCTGGATGGCCTACATCTCCTTGGCCGAGAGCCAATTACCGACATTTAGTCTAAACTATTGCATGTCGTCCTGGGTAGGGTGATTCCCAGAAGCAAGTAACCTGATTTGTTGGCTACGGGATGGGATCGTAATAGCAAACAATCGTTATAAGGGTTCCTTGAACAAGTGACTTCAAGCACTTAACATCGATGGAAGGGTCCAACATGATTTTAATCATAGCGACTACGTTGATCAGTTTGACGCGCCCTTCTACAGGACTCAACAAGACAAATTTACAGCCTAAGCAGACTACAGTCTTACTTAAAAGATTACCAAGTCTAACCTAGTTGAAAAACCTGTCTTTGGCGTATAAGTGCCCTAACAAGATGTATTACTTACAGGCTAAGTTTTTCATTCAACTAGCAGCCTACACAAGCAAAAGGACATTGTTTCTTACAACTTGCCTACCTGGCACACACGCTTAACAAGTTTTCTTCAAACTTACATAGCCTATTCATCAGGCTTCTCCATCCTAAGGTCTAATTCATCGGTTATGGTGGTGGCGAGTCCGTCAAATTCCTCCTTAGCTCTCTCCACAGCAGCAAGATGGCCTTCATCATCATATTCTGTGGTCACCTGATGGAGATCCACAACCGGGTATAGCACCCGGAGCGTATCGAGTACATTTCGGATGCAGACCTTGGTGGCTCCACGCACATAACCCTCGAAGCGGTTGGGGATGTCTTTCACTATATCCACCCACCTCTTTTCACCATCTTCTAGCCTACGGAAAAGGAGGGCAAGTGGCTTCACGGCTTCCCAGTGTGTTTCGCTCTGACTGTGCTCTCTCCAGCTGGGCCTTCAAATCAGTCACTGACTTCAGAGCCTGCATCAGATCATGATCAGCTCCCCGCTTTATCAGCTTAACTCGAGCAAGTTTTTCACTCGCTCGTTTAGTTACCTCTTCAGTTTGGTTGTGTTGGGTTCTCAGGGCTTCATTCAGCTCCTCCACCTCGCCTTCCAACCGCCGGGTTCTGATCCGCTCTTCTACAAAAAGACCATAAATGATCATCATCATGATCATCGACTACTACATGTCATGAACTACAGAGAAGTCATACAGTTCCTTTATCTTTTAGCTTTGTATCAAAGAGCTCGACCTTCTCTGTCATCTTCAACAAAGAGTCAAAGGTATCATTTTTCCTTGTTTCGGTGGCCGCTTTTTGCCGCTCGGCTTCACCAATCTGAGAACGAAGGATACAAAGGGTCTCTTCATGGTGCTTTTGCGCTGATTCCCACTCGGCCTCCCTCGTGGCCCGCTCCTCCATCAGCTTGGCGAGCTCTGCCTAGATCTTTTGGACCATGACAGAGGCTTTCAGCTCCACGCCTTGAGCATATGACTATTTCCGGAATGAGAATTTGGACGTTATTTACAGTAGGAAATGACAAAATGCGTTTACTTACCCTCAACTGGCCGTCGAAGACGGAAGCCTGGTTCAGCAGCCCGAACCATAACTTCGTCAACCCAGCAAACTTTGGGCTATAAGCCTAGAGCTAGGTACTAGGTCCAGTAACCAGAACGACGTCATCCTCCTCCACTTGTTGGGCGCTCGTCGTCGGCACCTTTGGGGTAGGAGCACTCGGTGCAACAGCGCTTGGGTCAGCCCTCGCGCTCCACACTTCTTCTTGAGCAGTAGCCTCTATGGGCTTCGGCCCCGACGGCTGGTGTGCTTCATTACCCACAGGCACCACTACCTTTGGCTATGGCACCTCCACACTCTCTGTAGTACCCAACTACGTAGGTTTCTTTGCCTCACCTTCTGCAAACGTTGGCCCCTATGCCCGGGGCATCTCAGTGGACCTGGATGGAGACATAGGCCCGCT